ACCTGGCAAGTGGGCCCATAGAACCCCCACTACGAATGTGATGCCCCGAGTAGTTTCCATAGTGACAGCTAGGAGATACGACTAGATCATCGTCGCGGGGTGTTTTAACACCTCATCTCTGGACAGGGTAACTTCAAGTCGTAGGCTCGACCGAAACCTAATCAGAGCCATCAAACGGGTTGATCTACACAATTATAATAATAATAATAATAATATATTTCATACAACAAAGGTTACATGAATACAAACCATTTTACAGGTTTGACCACTTTGGTAATGAGAGACGACTATTATGTACAATGTTATGCAATACATTAGATGCTGTGATTTATGGCATATAGGAGGCATGTTGAAGCAGGCTCAGTTCGAATTTGAAGATTATCCGATCACGTTTGAATCATCTAATATTCTTGAAGGTAAGGCCGCATCACAGTCATAGCCTTGAGGTTTTGATGGCAATATTCCCCGCTGACGAATGCGATTTGTAGGATTCCATTTGAATGCAGGACTGGTTAAGTAATTCTGAAAAGTGAATAACAAAAGCGAGCAGCAGGCGAAATTTGTAACAGGAGCACAAAAATACGCAGGAGTAGATCGACCATGATACATCTGGGTGAGTTTGCATTGACTGTTAAACTTACTTGAGGAAGTGTCCAGAACCAACTGTTTAGAGGTAAGCTTAGGTGGAAGAAGATGAAGGTGCGCACGACAGTAATGAAAGTCAGTCTGAAGCTGAAGATATCACTACGAAATAGAAAGATTAGAGGATATTTGACCAGGTAATAACTTGTTATATACCTATGTACGAGCGTATGATGAAGTTATAAACGTTTAGGTGAAATATTATACTGGCAATAACATTTGCTGGAGGTAGGGAGGAGAATCGTCCAGTCTGGATAGTCTTCTCACTAGTGGCCACCTGCTGGCTGGAAATGTTCAGGTGCAAACCCTTCTTGGGACCAGATATTCGGTGTAGTGATGCTCGATCTAGTATCCAGTGCAAACCCATCAGAGGAAGGACCCCACCCTTGTATTTGCAACAGCAGGGCAAACTACTTGACGCTGACCCAACAGCCCTACGGCCCCGGAAGTGAGGTAAATGGTCTACTGATCAACACTATAAACTATTGGGGGGGTGTTATTAAAGGGGCTGCCTCTGTAAACGTCTCAGTCATCACAACGATGCTAAATAAGCTAACCTCCTGGGTGAAATGAGGCACCGGACGTCTCCAGAAGGCCAAGAGAGAAAAATGGCGTAACTGGAGGATTTCCATAAAATAGCCAGGTCACAACGCTTGTGTGGCCATAAGGAATCGGTGCAACACCAAAGTGAGGTCCGTCACATGGTTATTTCAGATCATTCTTACTCAGAGGCTTGAGGTGAACCCAAAAACCTACGTCTATTCACGACGAAGGGATATTTGACCAGCCAATAGACTTGCGTCATGGAAGGCCAGAGCGGAGGAAACGCCTGAGATTGCAGAAACCTCATGCACCACCTTTGACACATGACCAAGCATGCCATAACCCAACCAAAGTTACCAGCTGCCTGAGCAACCCATAGCACCACTTAATAAAGAAGAGTCACATGGGATCACAGTAACCCCTGCTATGGCTCTCGATAAGCCTTCAAAGCCCGGCAGAGGAAAATCACCGGAATGAGATGATATTTGGCTGCTTGTACTGGAATAATGTTTAGATACCTCATGGGGTCTACTACACGGTCTCTTTCAGCACTCCTTTACCAAACACATACTCCCACGATAGTGGAAACGTGCTATTCTCCCTCCTGTCTTCAAAGCCGGAGACAGATAGAACCAAAAATGGTGTCAACACACAACACGTCTTCCAGTGTTGTCGAAGGCAATGGAGGTCAGACAGATGGCCATATCGGAGAGTACTTCGGCAAGAGAGGAGCACCAGGTGATACTCAACATGATTTCCGAAAGTCCAAGGGCTGCACCTTGAACCTTATGGCAGCCGGTGTCAGCTGAAGGGCATACTCTGCCCCCTTGGTCCTTATCCGTGTGGTTATCCTAGATGTCGCCGGTGTCTTGACAGTCTTAGGTGTCATTCTAATCCACAAAATATCAAGGTTGTGAATAAACGATCAAGTGCCCTCCTGGCTGCAGGACTAGTAAGACGGTAGACAGTTCTGCACAAAAGCCAACTTGGTTTGCTCGACGTGGAGGGGATCATCATCTCGTAGATCACTGGAAGCGATTCTGAATCCGCCGGTATTCTTTTTTGTGAATGATCTGCTACTGAGTCTCAGCTTCCCAATTTCGCTCTATGTTGGCGACTTAAAGTTATGGGGAGCTCTGACGTCGGTAGCAGAATCAAGTACACCGTAAAGTGGTCTCAGGTTGCTTGCAGAGCGGGTGGATAATAACGGACTGGCACTCAAACTGGACGGATGCTAAACCAAGTTTCTCACATCCATGAGTAGAAAAGAAATCCTACTCTACCTGCGGAAAACAACTTCTCCAAATCAACACTGAGAAGGACCTGGGACAGATAGTGGCTGACACGCTAGACAACTGTTCGCATTATCAAGAGGATACACACGGCTGCAATACAGCACTACGCTCAGCCCGCAGACAACTAGGTGCCTGCACTCCGAGATCTCCCTGAAGCTCTACAAGATCTCCATAAGACGTCCCCTAGAGGCCTGCAAAGAGGGGGTGTGAGCCCCCTGTAGAGAGTCCGGAGACGGGAAACAAAGATTGTTGTGGCAGTGCGGCAAGTCATACGAGCAGTGGACTACTAACGAACGGCTACTGCGGCGGTCTTTGTGGTAACCCAAGTAGAACCAATCATGGAAGAGCGAGAACCCGTGTGTTCATACATTTTTTCCGTCTGTGAGTCTGTTGCCGATGGGAAACATGGCCAGCTAAAATTGCTACTCCTCCATCTGCCGACAGCTAAAGAAGGGTTGGTCAAATGCGCAACGACGTATGGTATTTGTTCATCCAGTCAGGGCACGGGCTTCATCGAATCAATCCACTACTCTCGCATAACACAGGATAGTCAACCCTATGTCGATTCTTTTGTGCCGCCACCAGCACCGCGAATTTGACTCAATCTTATACTCCCATGTTCGACGTCTCCTCCAGTTACTTTTCCACATAACAGCACCGTTTTCGTCCTCACGATCCTTCTAACAATCTTACTTACTCCTTCTTTTCCCTATGACTCTAAGATCTTACTCTATTTATCGAGGTTCCCAGTATCACCTATCTCACACTATTCTACTTGGGTTTCTCTTTCTATTCCTTTCCGCTTCCTTTCGCCTTGTTTTATTTTCTTCGCAGCTCCTCTTCCTTGGTTTCATCGAAACTTTTTTCTTCCTGTCTGTCTCCTTTTTGAAGCCAGTCTAAAAAACTATCCAGTGGCACGACACGTGAGGAACCACAGTCCTTGGAAAATCATATGATCCATGAAATTTGTCGACCATATCGACAGCCGCTGTCGAATTTATGTTACCTTCACTTGACTAGGGCGTTTGACAGCGTTAATCTCAACCGCCCTGCTGATAAATTAGAATCAACAGGGATAAGACTACCGCTCCCCGACTGGTTGTCTTCATATTTACGAGGTTGTTTCTTTGGAGAGAGTCAGTTTCTCTATGTCTGAAGCAACAGGAAGTTCCAATTGTGTTCTTCAGGGTTCAGTACTAAGGCCTCTTTTTTCCAATATATGTGAACTATTTGCCTCAGCAGGTTTCTTCTGAAATTTTTCCTTTGCCAGTGATGCGAATCTATGGGAAGAAACCGAAGGCGAGGCAGACAGTGTTTCTCCACGGGAGGGTTTATCGCAACTCCGAAACTCGGCAGTAAATAATGGTCTCGGATTTAATCACGAAAACTGTAAGACATTGCACGTGAACATGACGCATGTTATGTATATAGTCCCAACGGCATGGAACTTGAAGTATCGCTGGTGGAGAAGGTCTTCGGCATTTTAGTCCTTCAAGACTAATTGTGACAGAAACGCATCTCCCAGAAAATTGGCGTTAGCAATCCTAAGACGAATTTTTGGCCAATTCGACCGTAAACGCCTCCATCAAATTTTCAAAAGCCTCATGCAGCCCCACATAAAGTTCGGAAGCGTCATCTTCCCTCCTTCTCTGCAGAAGGATAAATCAGGCTTGGAAAGCATCCAGAAGCGCTCGAGCAAACCTTTTCGAGGACTCATGTATGAAACACATGAAGAACGACTGGCTGCGCTGGGTCTGTATCCCCTGGAGTACAGACGACTGGCAGGAGACTTGGCGACAATTTGCCACATCCTGAGAACCCCTAGGCATCCGATCCATCACTTAATGGATATTAGCTGCAGCACTGATCTTAGAGGTTGCGTATAGAAATCGAGACTGGGACATCTCAGGTTCGATATCGGGGACAACTTCTATTCTCTAAACGTTGTTAAACCCTAAAATGTTTTTCCTGGGGGTTTGATTCTGGTCAATTCTTCTAAGTATGTTGGACCCCAGCTAGCTTCTTCCTTGAGGTGTGGCTGGGATCTGCTTAAATTTAGTTGAATTTTCATATTTTAGACGCCATTGTTTGCTCTCTCCTTACTTGTACACAGGTTAACAACCCCAAGAGGCAATGACTGACGGGTTTCAGACACGGAAGCCAGTTGGTCGAAATCTTCTTCTGTTCTGTAAACAGCTGTTTGAACCATCTGAACCATTCAAATCATCTAAATTTAACTAATACCCAACCTTCAGTCTGGTTAACCAGTGCTACAGCATGTGACTAGGTGGATATAATACACCAGAATGCACCAAAAACCTGGAACCGTTCTACAAGATGTAGAAGAGAACGCAAAGAAATCGATTGACTCACACTGCTGCGTAAAAAGATATTGGATATTGGACCGGCCTAGGTCAAAAGACTGCTGGCGCCACTTATGATGTCCTGGCCGTTTTGTGTTTCCTCAATGTAGGGCAATTGGCCTTTTTCAGTTTAGGAATTATGTACATAAATTCAAGAATGACAAACAACATTCCTCCTGGGTATCATGTCGAAGTTGTGGGTGATGCTAGGTTTGTGGTACCTTTCAGGTACTCCAATTTGAAGCCCATTGGTTCAGGAGCTCAGGGCTTTGTTGTGTAAGTCAGTGATTTATTGTGCAGTTAAACTTTATGTTTTATCTTGGGTAAGCTAATTTTTAATGATTTGATAAACTTTCTGAAACCACCTGTGTGGTTTGAACAGGTGGAGTTTTGAATAGGTTGTGATTGCTCTATTTGTGCTTTGAAGATGAAGGAAAAAGAATTGTTTTGGCCTGTTAGTTTTATTCCAAGTCTGTAAAGAGACCGGTAGAGTCCGCATGAAAGCTGGTCATCTGAAATGGATAGCAAGATCTGATACAAGAAACTTGTAATGCAGAGACATTCCTAATGAAGTATTTTGACATCTGGTTACAAGTTTTTCAGCCAGTTTATTTCTTTTTTTATTCCTTGCTCAGTTATTTGAAGTTTACCTTTGCTATGATCTATTCAGACGTATGCCTTTCGTAGAGGTAGCTGTTCAGCACAACTGACCCAGTTCTGACAGCTGTACATAAGCAACCCAAGCTCCTTCATGAGTGCACTCAGCACGGACGTAGGAAATTTATCCATGAGGCAGCCTTCATAATGACGTCGTCTGCGGCGCATACACTATGTTTCTCTGCACGAAGCTGTATGCAGACCTCAGTTTTGTAGGTCTTGTTACTTAAGACAGTCTTGGGAATAGGAGTCCTGAGAAGCACATTGGTGGTTACTAAGATACGAAAAGCGGTTAAAGATAAATAGTGAAGACACATTTAGAACTGTATTTCATGTTTAGACTCATATTGTTACTCATCGATGACTGAGTTGAAGTGTTTCTATATAAATCTTAAGCTACTGATTTATGTGGTGTGAAGTTTCATTATTGATAAAGGTCCTAGGTTAACAGGGTTTGGTCATTTTTAATTTCTTTGGATAATATAAAATAACCAACGATTTGAAAGTTACCTGTGAGTTGTGGCAAGGAACAAAATATCAGTCATAGGGTTGAATATTAACATTCGTCCGTCATAATCACTCGTCTCTGAAGTAAAGTTGTCGTGGCTTAAACTGCATCCTTCGCCATTTTTCAGTGACTTTTCAGTGTAATAAACCCACTACTACCTCTTTTCTGAGTCATAAAACCGTGAAGTAGTGCCAGATACCAAAGTTAGACTGCACGCACACTAGTGATAAACAGTTATTAAGTTTGGTGTCGCCAGTGATTAAACTAGTTGTTGGAAACCGGAAATTATTATTACTTACCGAAGTGTATCCCTTATTATCTAACTAGTAACTAACAACTTGTGCAGATAACACCTTTGACAGGTGTACAAATCGCGCATTAAACTTCCGATATGAGTATCATCACTAAACTTTTGCTGGGACCATTTGCGGGATGACAAAACTCGTCCTTGGCTTCAGTTGCATTAAAAACTCAAAATTTAACTGGAAGTGGCAAGTGTATTTTTTTTCCTGCCATAAAACTCCAGACCCTAGTAAGCGTTTTCTGTGTGAGCATAAAACACCTACTAATGTATGGCTACTTGAGTCCCTCGTCTTAGTCTAAAAACTCAATGTGGGCTGGATCCCAGTAAGTTCATTCTCAGATGTGAAACGATCTTGAGATAAGGGCATATCGGTAACACTCAGGAATGAGTTAGTGAAGGAACCTTTTGAAAAGAATTCATCCTGAAAACCGGTTCGTGGAATATTAAGTGGCAATTATTGGGAAATCGAGCAGTTTTGAAGTTACCCAGCTTTGTGTAGCATTTTAAATACAGTCACTTTTTATTCAGGTCTATTTAGAACGCTGTTGAGTCCTACCATCTCATCACTAGTGTCTTATAACTTTATTACGACAGTCTCCCCTTCTCTACCTCAAAAGCTTCTGGTGGTAAACCATCAAGTCTTGCTGCTTTGCACCGTTGGTGTTACATTTATAGCATCACTTGTATGTCCATAGTTCCACTGCGTCAGCTACATAGGTGTCAAAGGCAGGGTTTAGGCAAATAAATTAAGTTAATTGGAAAGGATTGAAGTCCTTCGTTGACTCAAGTATTTGGGACATGTTACGCTTGCCTAGTTACCGCCTGCTTCGTCGCACAATACTAACTAAAGTAGGTTGTTTGGGAAAGGTGACCAGACTAAAACGTGGAATCAGTCCGTTGCTCAGAACGGCGTGGGAAAGAAAAGTAGACGTATGTTGGGGTCTACATGACAACCGAAATCAGGAGTTGAAGACTAGATGATATTGCTGAGTCTCGGTTCGAGTAGCTCAAACATATCCACATCTTACATGCCTCTTAATCGTCCTTTTACACATGTTTTATTGTTTTACTCCCTCTTCTTTTGGTTTTTTACTCTGTCTTTGTGGTGTTTTCTACTTTGATTTGCTGATATGAGGTGTGGCAACTGAAACCTATATCCAGTAATTCCTGGTTCCATTTTCATACCGACTGACTAACTGAAAATTGATATTAGCGTCCTGTAAAAGATTAGGTTTCGATGCAAAGAAAAGTAACCGAGATGAATGACTATTATCATTATTATTTGTCTCTTGGGTTCCTAATGGAACATAGGGCTTCAGTAGCACGTCTCCAGTGCACTCTGCTCTCTGAAATCTTTTGAACCTGGCTCCACGACAGCCCAGAAGCTCTCATTTATTCCTAACATGATCTACATGTCATCGTCGCCTCGGACGCTCAGCTCGTTGCTTCCCATCTGGGTTCCACTCGAGGGCCTGGCCAGGTGCGTGATGTCCCAGTCGTCCCTCTTAGTTTATGCCCAATTCATCACTTCCTTTTGCATATTTGTTGGCCGATAGGTCCTTGGTTGGTTCGTTGCCAGCCAGAGTTACTTTTTGCTTATTCTTATTACTCTGGCCATCTGATCTTCAGTATTGAGCCGGCGTAGGCAGCTGTTGATAAATGTCTGTAGTTTGTTGGAAGTGTTTTTCATGACGCGCCAAGTCTCTAAACCATGATATGGAAGCACTGACTTGACATTGGTGTTAAAAATCCGGATCTTGTTCATGCTTTATGCTGAGTGCAGAGGATCTCCACACTAGTTTCAGGTTAATGAACGTCTGTCTTGCTTTTCCGATCCTGGTTTTGACGTCCTCGTCTGTGCCGCCTGTAGTTGAAACAGTGCTTCCTGGATAGGTGAAGGAGGTTACTTCCTTTAAGTTTCTCCCGTTGATGGTGACTGGAGTTTGTTGGTGGTGGTGGTGGCGTTGGCTGGGTATTATCATCACCTCTGTCTTCTCTGCATTCACTTGAAGTTCCTTCTTCCCTGCCCTGCCCCTTCTGCCAACTTGTTAGTTTTCACCTGTAGATCATCAAGTTTGTGTGACATCTGACACAAGTCATCGGCGAAATCCAGATCCTCTAGGTTCTTTTCCGCAGTCCAGCGTATCCCCGTCCTCTCGCTCCCCACTGTTTGCTACATGATCCAGTCCAGTCGACCACTATCAGGAATATCATGGGGGATAGTAGGCAACTTTGTTTCACTCCTGTCTTCACTTCAAAAGCATCACTGAGCTTCTCATTGTGAATTACTTGGCATGTGGCATCTTCATATACTTGTTGATAAAGGTTTGTGGTATTCCGTATTGTTGAAGCAACTGCGAAATTACTCCTCGGTCGACGCTGTCAAAGGCCTTCTCAAAGTCGATAAAGTTGAGGTAGAGAGTTGACTGCCATTCTATACTCTGTTCTATGATGATGCGTAGCGCAGCGTTGCAATTTGATCCCTACATGATGCGTACTTCCTGAATCCAACCTGTTCCCGTCGTAGTTTTGAATCCAGTGCATCCTTTAGTCTCTCCAGGATGATGCGGCACAGTATTTTGCTTGGGGTGGACAGAAGCATTATTCCGCACCAGTTCTTGCAAATCCTAAAGTCTCTCTTGTTTGGGAGTTTGCCTGGGTAACCCTTCTTCCAATCTGCAGGTGCTTTCCCTTCCTTCCAGACCTTCTGCAATAGTGGTGTGAGCATGTCTGCTGTTGTCTCTGAGTCTGCTCTGAGTGCTTCTGGCGGGATCCCATCTGGTCCTGCTGCTTTCCTACATTTCAGTAGCTTTATGGCGTTCAGGACTTCCACTTTTGTAGGAGGATTTATGTTCACTTGTAGTTCAGCGGCTGTAGGTGGTATTTCTGGACGAAGTGCAGGTGGTGGTCGATTCAAGAGTTTTTTTTGAAGTAATCAGCTCATTTTTTCCTTTGTTCCTCCGCTTTGGTAGCTAGCTTTCCTTCACTATCTTTCATTGGTTTCGTCTGTGTTGACCTCTTCCCAGATGGTAACCTGGTTATTTGATATAACGTTGTCAGGTCTCTCCTACCTGCAGCCTATTCTGCTTCACTTTCCAATGTGTCGTAGAAGTGTCTTTTGTCTTTCCGCGCACTCTTGTTCACTTCTTTGTCCAGTGTTTTATACATTGTACTCTGTTCCTCTTGTCCTTGAGCATCCTCGCACTGGTTTATATTCTGCTTCACCATCCTCCTCTCCCTGCTCTACCAGCTTCTATGTGTCCGTCGATTAATGACTATTAAACAAGCAAAATGAAACAGATCAGCTAATCCAATCTTATTTTAAAAGTTGCACAAATCACCTTACCAGTATTTTTGACTAATTCCAGTTGTAAGTGTAGGGCTTGAGGAACTCAGTGAGAAGTTGCTGTGAATCCGACTAAGTTTCTGCTAATAAATGCACAAATTCCTGTAGTAACAGTATTCAGGATAGAGCTTGTGGAAAGCTTTTCTTCTGTCTGCCCTTGGTCCCTGCCAGTTGGGTGTCGGAGACTACCATATGAAAACAATACCGGTATTAGTCTGTCTTACGAAAACGGACCATCAGATGTAACAATCAGCTCCTCATTGTAGATTAAAGTCCACGCATTTAGCTGGTCACCGGCTGACCTCAGCAAAATAATGTCTTCACTAAGTTGTCGTTAATATTACTCTTTAATTCAGTATTGTGATCGCTTATTATCATCATCAATATCAATATAGGACCAGGCATTACTACGTAACGGTCCGCAGCTCATATCAGTGCATCAAGTAAAAAGGCAGTGAATT